TGGTAATTTACCATAAGTAATTGAAGTAATTGAGCGTGAGAGCCAAATGAATCAAAAGATTTATGTTTGGTTCGGAAAGGGACTATGGAAGTTTTTAAATGAATGGAGTAGAAGGGGAAAGATCCTCTCCATCCATTAAAAGAACCCTTGCTCGAAGAGGTGCATCGGTCACCCCGACTGTCATATATCCTATATTCGATGGGGAATTTCGAACTCATTCTGTGACTGCCTGGACCATGAAGAAAGGAGATAAGCGCAATAACCTTTGCCGCACCTTCATCTCTTCTAATTGACCCTTTTTTTTTTGCTCGATTATGTGATATATATATATCAATTAAACAATTTTATTAAAGAAGGAAACAAACAATAACTAAAGGAATACATCTCAACAACAAAAAAGCAAGCCAAATTACAAAGAGGGTATTTGGGACTTTAATAATAATTCTTAATACATTTATAATTATTTTGTTTAAATCAATCAAATTGAAAAATAGACTTTTAAAATAGATCATTTTGTTATGGGTTAAGCGCAAAAAACCTCCTGATATATAGTGTTTGTGCAGAACTAGTCCCTATTTTTTGAAAATGTGCATGTTAGTCCATAAAATTTAAAAAAAATGCAAATAAGTCTCTCTAACCACTTTTTGACCAAAAATAAATATAAAAACCCCATTTTACCCTTTTTATTCCTTTTTTACCCCTACCCCTACCCCTACCCATTTCCTATTCCCTCTCTCTCCCCCTCTGCGTAAAACCCTAACAACTAACCAAAATGGCCGCTGCAGCTGCTGCTGCCCCCTCCGCCGCTGATGCCGCCACCATCACCGCCACCAAAGACACCAAAAATAACCCTCTCAAGTTTGTCATCTTCCTCTTCACCCATCCCCTCTCTCTCTCTCTCTCTCTCTCTCTCTCTCTCTCTCTCTCTCAAATTCTCACCTCTCTCTCTTTAAAACCAAACCCAGAAGATTATAATCAAATAACCAAATTTTTTTTTTTCTTTTCTTTTTTCCCTTTTTTTTTTTCCCAAAATAAATAGAACAAATTTTAGATGTGAAGGAAGCTAATTGTAGTGACTTGATGATTCATTTGCTTTGATGGTAACTCCTGAGAAAGACAAATTTTCCTCTCTTTATGAATTTGGGTGAGATTATAATCTTTCTTCATTATCGTGATGGAAAAGATAATGGCTTCCTTGAAAACTGATGCAGTCGTTCCGTAAGAATCGTAAGATATCCATTGATATAGTTTAGCCTAGTACATTTTTCATGCTAAATTTTGAAAAAAAAATTCTTGGTTATGTGAGTTTATGTGCTGTTTAGCACTTTATGTTGAAGGTGATCCGTAGAGGCTTATAGTGAATTCTCTTGGAAAAGCAATGGGATAGCTGATTCTAATTACCGCTATGGAGTTCACTAGTAGCAAGCGCAGAAGGTTGTCGACGAGAATCACAACGGTATTGAAACGGGCATGGAAACTCAAATTTGCAATAGCTATTCCTTAAGAGATCTTTGAAAAGCAATAGGGCTGCTAATACGAATAATTGCTACGAAGTTGTTGATGAGCAAGTTAATAATTAACAATACATTGGATCCAATGCATCCAATGAGAAGGACAAAGGAGAGAGGTTGAGATTTTCTGTTACAAAACCGAATTATTCATCTAATCCTCCTGATCAGGTGGTTTCCTCTGCATATTTGACTTTACCCACTGTCCTATCTAAGGGGCAGGTTGACAACCATAGGCTTGATTCTTCTTCATGCAACTATATTCCTGGGAATAATACAAATTTGAATTTAGAAATAGCAAATTTTATGATTGATTGGAGTAGTCATCGTGGGTATTTTTCGAGCATCCAGCAAAAGGAACAGTTTGGAAGTTCTTCTCAACTTGGTTCTCACAATATGGGATGTATTAACCAACCATTATGTAAATCCTTGTGGAGCGAAACCGGGAACCCAGTTGCCATACTTGAATCCTATCTCTTAATCGCGCTCACTCTATACTAGCTATTTTCTTGTGTATTATATATATTACACTCACAAATATAAGTACACACACCCGTCCGCAAATGCCTCTCTCTGCAACCCTCCCTGTATATATATATATAAACATAGAGATATGTATAATCTTACCGCCAAGGAAGAGCTTTGGGTTTACGACGGTTGAATTGATATGAATAGAGGCGAATTGGGAAGAAGCAATTGCTGACAAGAATCAATTATAAAAGAAGAATCAATTATAAATGTCTGTGATCAAAGCTTGATAAGTTTGTTTTTTTGTTTTTTTTTTCTTTTTTTTGATAAGTGGATAAAATGGTCATTTTACATGGCCTATATTTATAGTTATTAATTTATTCAACTGAAGTGAGGGTATTATCGTCATTTTATACTACACAAGGACCTATTTGCACCAAATTGATAGTATAGGGGTTTTTTTTTACCATACAGGGACCGATATACACTATATCGATAATAGAGGGGGATTTTTGCAATTAACCCTTTTGTTGTACCTATATAGGGCTGATTGCGAATCGGACCAGTTCGGTTTGGGATAAAGTTCAATCCAATCCAGTCCCCATAGATTGGTGAAATTTGAAATCGAACCAATCTGTGGGGACTTGTAATCCAAACCAAACCGATCCGTAAAATAACGGATCGAATGGGATCGATTTTCACGAATTGTGTTTTTCAAACAATCCAATATGATTGCACTTTATGGTCATTAAAATCTCAAATTAGTAATTAAAAACATGTAACTAACTTTTTAACATATATCAGCACAAACTTAAATTACCTAATAACAAAATAAAGTTGTAAATCATCCAAAAGTTAAAAGTCTTAAATAATGAATAAAAAAAATTATAGAAATAAAGTAAGTATATTGTGTATATATATATAGAATATATTAATATATAATTAAGAAACAGATCAGATCGGTTAACGGATTAGATTGGTTTTTCAGGGCCCAATCTGGTAACCGAATCACAAATAGCGGATTGCTATTTTTCTAAACCATCACCGTACCATGGGATCTAAAAACCAAACTGAACCATACGGATCGGATTGGTTTGGGCCGAATTGACAAATTATTTGCTCAACTGTTACCTATATGTAGTTTTCCCTTATTTTAATTGGGCTACACAACCATGACAAAATTAGAAGTTTTTTATCTAACAAAATAAATAAATAAATAAAAATTTTAAACAATTTCTTTTTTTATCTAACAAAATAAATAAATAAAAATTTAAAACATTTTCTTCTGAGAACCTTCCACAAAAAAAAAAAAAAAAAAAAATGCTTATTACTACATGTTACAACAAAGCTAAACCTCCACTATATCTATGCAATTTAAAAAAAAGGTCCCACTTTTTCTTGGGAAATATATCTCGTATGGAACATTTTATTGTTAAAAATAACTGTGGAAGGCTAGTAAAAAACAAATGTACTGAAATAGTTCCTTCTCGTTTTGAGTGAAGCAGTTGTAACTTGTAAGAATGTAAGTTGAATGCGGACCGATTAATCAAAACAAAAACGAGAAACAGAAAAAGAGGTGCACCCAACATTTTTCCTTTTTCTATGTTGTTGCATCAAATCATATTTGTTGAACTTCTTCACATAATTGGACAATTATAAGCAACTAACTAATCAATTGCCAGTTTGTCACACACATTACACGACTAAATATCATCCCTATCCTCTCCTCTATGGTGTCAAGTGCACACATAATCAACCGCTTAAATTTGAAATTGAACTTTGTACTATATTTCATTCAATTCCAATTTGAAATTAAACTTTGTGCTATTCAATGCTTCCAGACGCAACATTAATGGTATTTAAGGCTGCAACACAATACAATACATTTGATGCAGTAGTTATGGTATTTAAGGTTGCAACACAAGCAATACAGTTGATGTAGTAGTTATGCTGCATTGTGATACAAGTTTGCTAAACCGTGACGTGCACATAATTATGTTGCATTGCGATACAAGTTTGTTGCACCGTGACACAAATTTGTTGAAGACAATGGGAACATTTGTATAAGAGACGAAAACTATTATACCAGTAACAGTCAATGCAATAGGAGAGTTAAGAGCAACCAAATGCAGATTTTTTCAGAAAACTGAAATGCCGGTTATAAGTTTGGGTTTTTAACCCAATGCAAATACCCCAAAACATCATAAGAAAGCTTCATAATGATTGAAATTCTAAATTACCTCATCATAGTTGTTTTATCAAGGACAATGACCTCTCCATTACTCTGTCTTTTATACAGAGTCGATTAGATGGTTCAAAACCCCCCACATTAACAAATATAAAAGTTTTGATTTCCTCAAAATAAGGTAAATGTTAGTTGACCGGAGATAAAATAATGGAATAATGGAGACGGAGATAAAATCATGGAGACGGAGAGGTTCCTTGTCCGCTTTATGTAGGGATGGCAACGGGGGCGAGTTTAGGCAGGTATACCCTCCCCAGCCCCCACAACCGTTAAAAAATTCCACCCCCGTCCCCGCCCAAAACCACAAAACGAGAATACTTTTTACTCCATTCCCATAACCGTTTAATATTTTTACCCCCGCGGATACCCACCCCGCCCTTTTAAGACCATAATTTATTTATTATTAAAATAGATTTGCTCTTTTTTTTTCCCCTCATCTTCAATTATTCACTATTACAAATTTCTTTTTAATCAAATTCATTTTTTACTTTAATATTGTTATATAGAGTATTAAATATATAGTTAGAAATACATATACTAATGAAATATGAGTACTTAAGTAATTTGCCTATCTAAACGGGGCGGGGCGGGGCGGGGCAACCTCTCTCCGCCCCCGCACCAAACCCGTGTAGGTTTTTATTACATCAAACCATCTCTGCCCAAATAAGTAAAACGGTCCCCCAAAACCGTCAAAAACAGTGCGGGGTGGGGCGGGTCAAATTGCCATCCCTAGCTTTATGCCAAGACAAGATATCATTAAGAACGCATGTAAGAGGAAGTAGAGAAAAATATTCTGGTATCTAAGATGGAACTTTAAGCGTTTACCAATTTAAGTATTATAACAACTCATACTTAAATTCAAAATAGAGAAGTCCCAAAATAAGATAAATCTTCCAAAAGATAACAATTAGAACAGCATGTCCTAATATAAAGATACGCAAGGTTTTCGACTACAATGAAAGGATTTGGCCTACCACCACCACCATCCAGAGGGACTGAGTCTACTAGTTTAGTCTCTCACTGTTGCAGAGACCTGATGATATCCGAATCACCTGAAGCATTAACAACAGAAAGTCAGCTGTCGCCTGTTAGGAATATGGTCTCTCATTAAGAGAGGCTTAGTTTCATAAAACAACTGAAATACCTTGCTCGATAATGCTAAGGCACGACACACGGAAATACTTGCCACATGCTGTTCCCAGATCAACATTGTCTAAGCACACAAAAAAGCCAGCAAAAAATGAAGACAACAGAAAGAATCAGAAAACACATCTCATCAGGCGTAAGCATTTGGTCAGACCAAAATAAAATAAATATGGAGTAAAGGAGTTCCTACTATGTAATAATATTTTAAACAGTGCCAAGTGTTTAACAACTAAGTAGCAACAAAAAGATCACCTAATGTTGACGACAAAATATTGAATGCAATGGACACAGTAGAGAGAGATGATGCAAATTGGAATTGGACTAACATACTATGACCAAGCTGCGAAGCTTAAACATTGTTAAAGGAGTGAAAAAAAATAGCAGAATTGACATTAGCACTATTATTTTTATGATGAACTAAATAAAGTAAATTTCCATCCCAAGCAAAAATTCATCAAAGAATGAGTAGATGGGTAGAGTAAACATCAGGTTCACAAGTGCTACAAACCAATGGAAAGAGATTGAGAAAGTCCAATTGCATGTTATACTGTAAATTGATGGAAAAGAATGAATCATAACAAGCAAATCTAAGTCCAAAAATAGGTTTGCTAAACTCGATAGCAAAGGATTATCAGCATCATCACATCACTAAGAGGCATGGTTTAGATTTATTTTTAAGGAATATGAAGAAAATTTCTGCATGATCTAGTATCCCATGTAGGGAGCGTTCTATGGTCTGGATTATAGAATACAAACAGCCAAGCAAAGGATAGTAATATTTCATTATAACCTTGCTGCAAAATAAATCACACTCTCGGCCATATGTAAGAGTGTGTTAAACACAAAGAGATAAAAGACAATTCTTTGAAATAGTGAATTACTTGGGTTAGGTATCAAGTATACAATACAGGGAGAGAGCTTATCGACAAACTCATACTCTTGATGGGAAGTTCCCCCCTCGACCATCATAAAGCATATTATGGTCATTTGCTATTTCCATCTTATTTATATGTATGACAAGTCTTTTATTTATTTTGTTTAGTTTTGGGTACATAACACAAATGAAGTCCTCTTTGTTTCCTCCCTGTCTCCAATTATATTTGTTCAGCAAAAATGTCATATAAGGTGCACAATGAACATTACTGACTATTCTCTATTGCCAAAAAAAAATAAAAAAATAAAAAAATAAAAAAGATTATTCTCGAAAAACATAGAACCAAAAAAATCAATCAAGCATTGAACTTGCACATAAACTTAATGGAAATCAGCACTTACTTCCATTGAAATGGTGAACCCCGACCTTTGCAAGCATGGCATAGTACTCAATCTCGGATTTCCGCAGAGGCGGGCAATTGTTTGAAATTATTACCAGCTTCCCTGTAATTGCTCAAGCAATCACAAAGATCCAAAATCAAAAATATTAGAAGCATAAATTAAACAAATCCCAATTAAAGGTGAGCTCTTTTTCTGTTTAGTTTTGATGCCAATACATTGATTAAATCACAAATAAAAGTGAAGTAGATTCAAGGAAATCAAGATGATTGACCTTTGGAGTTCCTGAGAGACTCGAGGACAGTTTTGTAGCCGAGAGTATACTTGCCGCTCTTCATCACAAGAGCGAGCTTGCTGTTGATACTCTCATGAGTCTTCTTCTGCAGACATTACAACCCACAATAGATTAAGGTTCAACGCATCGATATTCAACGATGCACACCCATATATACATATGCATATATATATAAATATATATTGACATATAGAAACAGAGAGACATGGAGAGAGAATAATACCGTCTTCTTTGCCGCTACCATTTTTGCTCCTCAAAAAACCCAAAGCCCTGCGAACAAATCGGTAAGAGAGAAACAGTGGTCAGTGAGAACTCAGTTTAATGCCCAGATCAGATCAAAATCTAACTTTTTAGAAACAGAAATTGAATGATATTTTACTTTGAATTGCAAACCCTAGAGTTTCGATGACTAGCGGCGCCGAAGAAGAAGAAGAGAGAGAGAGCGGGGTAGATAAAGAGAGACAGAAGGGGGTAGGGTTTGGAAAATGAGAGTTAAATTAGGGTTTATTGTGCACTCGTTGTGATGTGTAGCACGTGCGAAACACGTGAATATGTATGGATTGGATCCGTTCTGGACCATAAACAGGTCCAAAAGCCCGAAAAGAGGATATTAATTGGTCTTCAAAAGGATGGGCTCGTGCGTTGGTCCAACCCAATTGAAAACCAACAGATAGATACACACTTCCGCTGGAGTACTTTCGCTTCTCTAGGGTCTGTTTGGGAAAACGAGTACATTGGGAAAAACTTATCAAGAGAGCCCTCTCAAAACATGAATCATAAGTTATTCATATTTAATCACGGGATTGTGGTAACTTTTGAAGATTTGCAAGAATTCAACTGATTAAATATGAGAATTCGTGACTCTTGTCCTGACAGGGTTCTCTTGATAGCATTAATATATTACAGAAGGGTTAAATTGATATTTGTTAATTTAAGTTTGGTCAGCTACTTGAGAGGATTCTTTGGCCTTATCTAAAGTCACTCAAAATAATCGCCTTCTTAGGCTAAAAAACAAACTTCAATTTATCTCATATGATATACCATTTACCAAATTTGAAGCAAGAACATTACTAGTGTGATCCCAACAATCAAAGGGTGAGTGGATTTGATGAGATGACAGAACGGTGCTATAGTGCAGTTGAGCGGTTGTGATCATTCACATGTGGAGCATTTATACGTGTGAATGATTAGAACAATCCGCTAAATGCATGCCGCACCGTGCTGAATGATTACAACCTAAACCATCTCGCACCGTGCTGAATGGTTACAATCGGTTGTGGCTGTGATCACTCACACACGTGTAGAATGTCCACAAGTACAAATATCCCGCACTGTGCAGCACATGATCTAAATACTACCTAATCAAAGAATATTTGGCAATCTTTTAGGGTCAATTTGGTAAAATAAAAGTGAAAGGAAAAGAAAAGAGTGGTAATGGAAGGAAATACAAATATGCCTTTGGTAGGAAATGTTGGATGAAAAAGAAATGAAAATGAAAGATTTAAAGGGATAGAATGATGTATGAATAGTAGTTTTTGTTATCCCCAAAAATGGGAGGAAATGAAAGGAAAGGAAAAGTTAATATTTTTAATAAAATTTTGTCAATACCAAATTTGCCCTGATTTTTATAAAAGAAAAACTCCATAAAAAGATATGATTGTAAATTCATTACATATATGATTGTAAATTCATTACAATAATTTCTTTTCTTTTCTTTTCTTTTTCTTTTTCTTTCCTTTCCTTTCCACTGTACCAAACATGGCCTTAAGTCCTAACATTTTGCAGTCTCCTAAGTCCTAACATTTGGCATTATAGCAAAGAAAGCAACTTGACATTTCGCATGACACGGAAACAGTTACTTTCAAGACATTTCGCATTATACAGAAAAAAGAAACAGCCCATAAAATTTATAATCACATTAAGAATATGAATATCAACAAAATTTATTTCCATAAAATGTCGCCAAGCAGGCAACCACATTTTAAAAAGTTTTGAACCAAAACTAGCACTTGGTATTAAATTGTAGTTTCATCTGCCAGAATTTAAACACAATAACGAAGTTTTGAACCAAAACTAGCATTTAGTACCAAAATGCAGTTTCATCCGCCAAAACTCTAAAACATACTTTCTGAAGATCAACTTCACATCAACCTGACCTGTTGGCATATTCGTAATTACAGCAAAAGGTTTAACACAATAAGGCTTCAATATCCAAGAGGAGATGAACAAGAGCAATGTTGGAAGCCACTCGGAGATAAACTTTTTTATTAATAATATTCTCAAGCAAACACTGTCTTATTCCCACCATAGTTGCAGCTAAAAATGACTAAACAGCTGTACACAAATACCAGTAACATGCATGATCCTGATCCATGAGGCACAAAGTAGCCACTCATAAACTGCATACATAAATTAAACCTCCCTAAGAACTGCAGACATAATTATGAATTACACTGTAGAACCCTGTCCCCATACTGGATAACGAACTAAGCCACTAAATATACCACGATCACTACTAACTACTGCCTGTTTTTATTTTGATTAGCCAGTTTTGCTGTGACCTGTTCTTCAGTCAAGGGTAGGTAGTAGATTCGAGGGGTGGCTCTGGTTTTCCTGAACAGGTCATCCAAGGTTAAGATTGGATGGTCTACTTTCTCAGGGACCGGTGGCTGGGGAAGGGGTTTTATGGTAGGTAGATCAGAAACATGGGGTGGTTTGGAAACTGGAGGTTGGGGTGAAACGGGCTGCTTGTGGCCATGCTGGTGAGTTGAGGATGGTGGCTGAATGGGAGCTCGAGTTGCAGAAACAGTTGGGCTGGTACTGACAGGTTTAGTAGCTGTTGAATTGGGAGGCGCCTCTGCACGCAACTTCACTTCCTGGGGATCAACAAACTCAGCAACCAGCAGACGTCCTCCATTTGGAGGCCATTGAAGGTTGTAAAGAGCATTTCGAGTCTCTATGGCTTCCTCTGGTGATGAGTACTGCACAAAACCAAGTATTCATCAATTCAATGGGTTTGTGACAAAATGTTTATATATATATAAAAAATAAATAAATAAAATAAAATAAAATAAAAAACGAAGGGAAAATACAAATTAATTTTTAAAATTTATTTACAAAAATAGAATTTAGTAACCAAGGTAAAAAGCTTCCACTACTTCAGGGAATAACCTAAACAAAGACTACAGCTGCCCTAACAAATTAAATTCTTCAAACCAAATTGTAACTTAAAAATAATCAGCCCCTATTTTCAAAAAAATTTCCTATTTTCAGTTAACTAAAATTAATTAAAAAATTTAGGGAAAAAAAATTGATATGTTCTGTCAGGTGTGAATGTCAAGACTCAGTATCATTCATTTCTGGTAAATGGGACCAGTTGGACTTGCATCTGGACCAAAATATACATATGGACTACATATATAGGTTCCAATCAGCAAATAGTCCAGTATATATACAAATATATATATGTAACTGGCTGCATCCCGTTATTAAGGAGTGCCACCTCAATACTCACCAAACAGAAATCAAATAGGTTCAAATAGTATACATCTCGATTACAAATATAGGTTCTGATCTAAAATGGATTCTTTGTCAATCCATGAATGTGATCCAAACAGAAATCGAAATTCACATGAAGAGATGAGTAAAGAATGAGCATGAGATACCGTGACGTAGCAATGCGTCTTGATGTGATCCATCCAGAAACTGCAGACATTACCAGTTCTGGCTAGAAGCTCTTGCACAGCTTTCAGTGTAAAAGGACGCAGGAAGTGATCGATTCTAAGAGAATTGGTTGGAGGTTTTGGTGATGGTGGAACTGCAATCGGGAGACAACAAAGAATCAAACTTATATGGAAACAACATTTGTCGACTGAATAGTGAATTTCATCAGCAACCATATTATAATACTCACCAACACGTTCCTTGGGTGCATCTGCACTAATTGTAGGGTCAGACTTAGTGAGGTTGTGTTTCAACATATTAGCCTGAAACAAATCCTTAGGAACTGTAGAAAGGGAAAGATTCGAGCCTTGTGTTTCAGAGATTTTAAGGCTTCCAGAATTCCACCTACGCAACCTCTTTGGAGGTTCTTTGTTACCAGCTGCTGCTTCATCTGCAAACACAACTTACTAAGTACAATAGACCACAAGAAAGCAGACACTTATTATTATTACAACTTAAATGGGATAAAGTGATTAGAATGGATTTAAAAAATTAAATAAGAGACATGACTCGTAGTAGTAGAAAAGAATGAAAAAAGAGAATTCATGTGGCCGATCACATTCAAAAGGGATAAAGCCAAGGAAGATGATGATTGCTCAAAAACCAAATGGCTCAGGTTCAACTCTCTCTGGCAAACTTGATGCACGTGGTTATACACAAACACACACACACATATGAAGAGAAAGGTTATGACCTACTCTAGTTCAGTCGCAACAAAATCATGACTAAGTCTGCATGTCTCAGGCACTAAATAATACTTCTCTGAGGCATTCGAAGACACCTGAAGTTTCCATACATACACACTTTCTTTAAGAAATGAATAAATAATAGTGACGTTTCAAGCGTGTTGAATATTTTCAAAAATTGACATACTTTTAAAATTCTTCTACTGATCAAATATTTAGCTTATTTTAATCATAGCTTGCAATTTATACAGACATACATGTTTATATTAGTTCTTACTATTACAATAAACTGAAAGAGCAGTCTCTTAAACACATGTTCTTTGATCATGAGAACAGGAAAAAAAAATTATAAATTTCTCTACATTACTCGTTGTATATTTGTAGTTTGTGGGTGCTCGCCCACGCTCCCACACATGTGGGAGTGAAAGTGAGTTACAAAAAGTATTCTTTTAAAATTCTTTGCCCATTATTATTTATGCCCCTTTTCATAATTTTCTAGTACAATACTACAAAAAGCTTTCAGATATAGGCCTATGTTTATCTGGAGAGGGAAGAAAAAGGAAAAAGAAAAAAAGAAAAGTATTCTCAAACTGATAGACGGGATAAGGATATGTCTATATCACGTGACAGGTATACTGTGGATCAAATTTTTACTTTTGCACCATTTGCTTTTTACTTTAAATTTGGTGATCAACGGGAACAGAATTCAGCAAAACTCTATATAGGGAAAAACATACTCTTCTACTTGCTATTACCAAACTGACCATAAATTTTCTTCAGCAACAAAAGCACCACCAAAATTAAGATAACATTTGTAGCACCCAGACTTTCAGCAGTCTCTTTTCCCTCTTTGATATCAGTGAGACTATATTTCATTGGCCAAAATACATCCCCCAATACCTTCCTGACAATCCCCTCAGTGTGCCATTGTGTTGACCTTTGCTGCTCATTTATGCTGTACAGTGGATGTCAAAGGTGGTTAAACTCACAAATACAAAAGCAAGCTCATTACTCGTTTCTCCTAACCTACTTTCTCTCTGCTGAAAACTAAGTTCAAAATATCCAGCCGAAACAGACCTAAAATCCAATAAGTGATGTCCTCCTTCCCAAGCTCATTCAGTTCCTCATCTCATGAGAACTTTAACACAAGTTATCTGCCAATTTGAATTAAGAGATAGCCCAATCTCAACCATTTCTCCACCCACACATTCCAATAACAACATGTTGATTCCACAAATTCCTTTTCTATCCTTGAGTGCAAGGAGAATATCCAGATGCCTGCCATACAAAAGCAATTTCTCTCCAATCTCTTTTACCTATGTATACATGTTTTTATAATACAAAGTTATTGGCATTTAACCTTAAACCAATTGTGAATTTAAAACCACGCATCACCACAAGATCCATCACAAAGGACATGGAATGAATAAATAAAAGAATAAATCTCAGCAAATATAACTGTCAAATAAAACAAAGGGTTTTGCATGGTACCTTGAAACTTTCTTTTTTCAGAAGTAGTAGCAATTGCATTCTTCTGTTCAGAAGACGACTCCAACTTGTCAGAATCAAGCTCAACAGCATCAATAGTACCAGCCACTTTCATACCAGCAACGTCAGCCAACTCAATCTTCTCAGCCACTTCAGTGGAAATATCATTTGAATCTATCTGTTTCGTCTCCAATACGTCCTCCTCCATAGAATCGTCAGCTGAAGAATGGTCCAAGTTTATCTTTTCCATTGGTCCCTCATCTGCCACAGTTCTCTCAATACGATCCAGGGAAGTAGATTTGTTGTCATCTACTGCTTTTAAAATAAAAAATACAAAGCGTCAATAATTATGACAACATGGCCAAAATAATTGGAAGAGGGGGGAGGGGGAGACAACTAAAACAAAGAAAAAGAAGGTATTAACTTAAAAAGCCTACCTCGTAACCTTTTTCCCTCAAAGGCAGCAGTCTCGGTAGCATATGTTTTCATCTTGTCAGGGGACAATTGAGGCCCCACAACACCATCAAGAGTTCCCTCATTTGCAACAGGCATTTCCATTAGCTCAATCTTATCCATTGCTATATTGAAATTATGGTTTGAATCACTTGGCTTGTTTTCCATAACATCTCTCATAGAATTATCAACTAAATTATGGTCTAATTTTAACATCACTGATGACCCTACAACTCCATCATTTTCTTTCCTAAAATCCACAGGTGTAGATTTGTTGTCATCAGTTTCTTCAACAAAACTCTGGTCTCCCTCAGGTTTGTTATCATCCAGTGAATGCAAGTTACAATCATTTTGATGGCCTTCACTGGATGTTGGCTGCACCATCTCCACTTTAGTAACATCTAGTTCTAAATAGACATTATCAGCATTTAAATTATCCTTTAGTTCAGTGTTTTCATAAACATACACAGCATCAGTAGAAATTGACTCAGACTTTACTTGAAACCCTACATTTGGGCTGACATCATATACCTGGTTGTTTGGATAAGATGCATCACACTCCACGTCCATCTGCGAAGGCTTTGAATCGTCATTCTCGGTCTTAATTTCATTGTTTTGCAGTGGTTCCTCGTTCAATGCAGTCTGTGATACCACAGTATCATTGAAGAAGGGGTTAGTTTTCATAGAAGCCTCCAATGCAACTGGTTCTTCAACCGCCGGAGCATCTGTAAGTGAAAAATTCAAATTCTTATTCTCTTGATCTGTTTTATTGTTTCCAGAAGCTTTGTCGCTTGATGCAATCTGGGCTGCAATGTCATCATCTCTAATTCTTGTTTCCATGCAAGCCCTTAAAACTGGTTCCTCAACAATCCTTTCAACAGAATCAGTGCCACCTATTGCCTCATCCTCTTGAACTTTCCCTTGATCCATCTCATGAGGACCCTCATCAGGGTCAAGCCCAGCCACAACTTCATCACCAACAGCAGTTTTGCTTGTGTCATCAGCTCCAGTTTGCATGGAAACCTCTAAAATTGGTTCCCCAACAATAATCTCACCCAAATTATTACCACCTATCGCTTCCTCTTCTAGAACCTTTCCTTGATCTATTTCAGCAGGACCATCATCAATGTCAACCGCAGCTACAACTTTATCAATCTTGGCAGTTCTACTTATGTCATGATTCAATGTATCATCAGCTCCGGTTTCAATTGAAGCCTCTAAATCTGGTTTCCCAACAATCATCTCAAAAGAATCAGCGCCACTTATTGTTTCCTGCACTTGAACTTTGCCTTGACCCAAACCATCAATTCCAATCCCAGCCACGACTTCATCAACCTTAGCCGTTTTATTTATGTCGTGACTCCGTGTATCATCAGCCATTTGTACATAACTAGGGTTTGACAGTGGATCTACATGCGCAACCACATGTTTTGGCTCGGATCCAATACCTCTGCTTGCTTCTTCCTCAAAAGGTCCCCTTTCAATGCGAATTGCTTCATCCAACCGCTTTACCAAATCATCTTTCAATCCTTTTGTTGTTAGTTTCCGTCTCTTAAGCTCTTCCTTCAACTCTGCTACTTTCCACTTATTAATTGGTCGGTTGTCAAGAACTGGATATTGCATTGACATCTTTCTTATAGGATTTATCTATTTCTGCTTCAAGAACCTGCATATAAAAGTATAAACTCAAAAAATTGAGTAGTTGACGCGGGGACAAACTTAATAACAATTAAGTATGATTGTACTAGAATGGGAGCTCTAAACATCCAACCCCAAAGAGACGGTACTGGTAAATATACAACCAAAAAAAAAAAAAAAATGGAATTAGAAACATGTATCAGTGAGGAGTGCTGGAGGGATGAATTAGTTGTAGACCTAACTTTTTGCATTATTGGTAAAAAAGTAGTTACCACAGACTTGGATCCATGTGAGTTACGCTATAGGGTCCCATAACTGTTAAAGGCTCAAGTCGCACTAAGGTGCCAAGTAAACATAGAGAGCTAAGCACAAGACATAATATAAGGCGCGAGTTTGGAATAATTAAGGCGCATTTGTAATATTAATGCATATTAAATATGAAAAAAAAAAAAAAAAGTAACATATACAAAACTAACTTTTCAAGATCAAAGTGACAGAATCTTTTAGCATATCAGTATCAATTCAATGGGATAGCCAAATCAACGAACATAAATCCTTTTAATTTGCATTTCCTTTCAGTTAACTCAATGTACAATTGAAATAATTTAGAATATGCAACAGAACTTGTCAAATTTTCTAAAAGGGAATTTGTCTTTTTTTTTTCTTTTTTTTTTTTTTTGACAAGTGAAATTTTGTCATATTGAGTAACAGGGTCAGCTAAATCAACACGGATATATCTTTTCAATAAGAAAGTGCATTAAATACATCAAATAACTTTATAAACGAGCAATAATAAAAGGCTACAACCATATAAACTTTATGCATGTTCTATTATCATAAATATCCATAATTAAAACAATAAACACTTTTGGTTTTTAAATGTGGTTGTCTACTGACTTGTAATATCTCATGTTGTTGTCATGTTGATAGATCACATTGTTTTGCATTATAAGTGTTTATTTTATTTTATTTTATTTTTTATATCTATCAATATGACAGCAACATGAGATAATAACAAGTCAGTAGACAACCAAATTTAAAAAACAAAAATAAAAAGGAAAGGAAAACATAAGATTAAATAATTACTAAAAGATAACGCACTCTTTCTTTTAACCTAGAGCGTAAAAAAATTGTGCAACAAAGGCTTTTATGTGAGCACAACAGAAGCATGTTACTTGCAGGCTGCAAGTAACACCCTTCAGTTGCAGGTTCGCAGGTTCAGGCACTTCAGCCTTAACTTCATGAGCCTGGGTTTTTTCTAGGGTCTAGGTGCGCCTTTAGCAACTATTAATGCCACATACCCGAATCTTTTACTCAAGATAAATCCCTATGGTTGTACATGTTTCCCCATATTACCCCCACAAACAGCGTCCAAGGAGTTTAAACCTGAGAAGTTATTTTCCTATGCGATTTGGCCAAGTCACCTACCCATGTGGGATTAAGTTAATTTATGAACCTTCGCATAGCAAGCATCACCAAATTGCAAACTACAAAAATATTATCTTTCAAACTAACACAACAAAGCCCAAGTGAACATTGCACTAAAAATATTGATAACTAACACCCAGACGAAGCATAGGACAATTGCACTCAGATGCATACTTGTCAAACAAAAACATCAAAAAGAAAAAATAACATTTTATAATTCAATAATATCAAATAGATGGATTCAAAATAATTTGAGAAGCAGAAAAAATCACATCCTCCCCCTAAAATTTAAATAAAAATAAATAAATAGATAAATAAAATATAGATTTTCAGCACAAAAATTCTCTACTGATGTTGATGTAGATATTGCTAGGGTGAAAGCAGGTAGAAATCTGAGAAGCAAACGGAAACAAATCCAAAATGAGGAATTGAAAAAAAAAAAAAAAAACAACAACAAAAGCAACAATAAAAAGAAAAAAGATTTGAGTACTTACAGGGGTGTTTGGTTCGCTAAATGAAATCACTGCAGGTCAAACAGTAATTTGTTAAGAGAAAAAGGTAGATACTTGAAACCCTAGTTTCAACACAACAACAATACCAACCGTTAGTTAAGACAAACAAAACCCAAATTAAATTCACGGGTAATTGAAACCAATACAACTCCACATTCTGACCGAATTATATTCCTGATAAAAAAGAAAAACATGAAAATATATACTTAGGAAATATATATATATATATATATATAGAGAGAGAGAGAGACAGAGACAGAGATTTTGGTAGGAAAAGGAAAGTAAAGTGGCCCCTCTAATTCGAATGAAATTGGCGTGTCTAGGGTTTCAATTTTGACACACTCTGTTTTAATCACAGAGACAATTGTAAAGAGAGAGGGGAATGAAATTGCGTGATAAAGGGAGAGCCAGCAGACGAGCGCGAGGTCGTTGATTTTGTTGGGCTTTTGGATAATTTTTAGTATTATATTTACCAGAGAGACCCGATTCCAGTAAGAGGAATTGGGTGGGTCTATTCTTCGAGGCCCATTTGTTCTGTGGATCTTATCTTGTGCCTTAAAACGTTCAACTTTGGAGGCAAAGTTGGCAATCACTTGAACACTAATTAAGGCAGTATTCGCATATTCATTTAAATAGTCTGTTTTATTTTTGAAATGCTTCAAAATAAATCAACGTGATAAAAAATAATTGAAAAAATTAAAGAATTTTAAACAAAGGAAAACAATGTGTGATTATATATATGTACTTATATATATGTTTTCATTCATGAGTACATTTGCATGGATATGTTGATTATTATTCAAATTAAATTTATACATATGAGTTTAGTACACAGTCTTACCAAGATATATGAGTTTAGTATACAGTCTTACCAAGATATATGAGTCTATGAATATGGTAGTTGATAGAGAGGGGGTGGTGGTAGGAAATTGAGAAAAGAGAGGTGATGGCCAGAGGGTGGATGTGTAAGAGCCTAAGAGGTGGAGATGACAATGTTTAGAGGGTGAAGGTGTAAGAAGTAAAGAAAAGAGATTGATATAGATATAGACTGAGAGAGAGGAGAAAAAGAATAAATATACTAATGGTAAGTTTTTTTTTATGTTTTTGAAAGATTATAATAAAGATGAGATGTTGTGACTCAAAATGCAATAGTTTTAACCCGCATGACAAGACCCTCAACAGGAGGGCATGCAAGCCCATTACCATAAGAGACTATCTAACTAATGAATTGAAAACTTTATTAAATGATTAATTTGACTTAATTAACCACTATAGTAAGCTCTATTGGTAATCATATTTTTTGTTTTCATCTAAAAGGGAAACAAATTTTTGTTATGGAGTATATTAAAATAGTAATCCGAAATATATTTGGTAACGTAAAATTTGCTTAAGATTTTTGGAAGCAAAAACATAAAAATATATTTAGTAAAAAAGGGTTGTCAATATTGAATAATGAATGACAAGTTAAAAAATGCCACTTAGAAATTCTTTGATTATTTTTTCATACATTAGAAAACATCGATTTAATATTTTTTTATTTATTTGATATTTCTGATTTTGTCATCTTTCCACATAAACGGGTACCATTCAAATCACAACAAAAATTATTAAATATTTTTTGATGTTTTACTTTGTCACGTTATACACTTGTGATACAAAACACAAAACAAAAGCCATTGTCAAACAACACTGTAGTGATATAATTTTGTTTTCATTGGATGAGGGACAAAACAAAGGAAGTATTAAAAAGTGAAAGAAATATATATATATATATATATATACATTTTTTTTTTATCTTTTTGAATGTTTAAAGTCATAGAAAGTTAATTAACTGAAACAAATAAAATTAAGTTTTTTACTATTCATTTGGACAGAACGAAAATTTTGTTAGAAAGATGCAAAAATTTTGTTTAATTGTTTAGATATCAGGAAGTTTAATATATATATAAGATCAAGTGTAAAAAACACCCCTAAAGTATGCTTACAATTCATATCACACTCTTTCCATGTCAAAAACACCCCTCAAATTTCAATTTGGTGCAATCAAGTCCCTTTGGCATATTTAAAACCAAACTTGACTAAAGTACCCTTAGTCAACAATTTTATAAAATATATAAAAATACAAAATTTTGTAAAAAGACCAATCATAGTCTGATACACTACCACCAATGAACGACGATGACGAACCCACCACCACCATCATGTCGCCGGCAACAACGCCGCGCTTGTCCCAACCATCGTTGTTGATGCCTATCCACAAGGACTGCTGGCTTGAGGACGCTACTCACATTCATCGAAGCCTATGCTGCGTCGAGCTCAACCGCGGCAACCTTCGTCAGAAGCACTGACAGGACGTCGTCAACGCCATCAATGCTTATCACGGCCACGTCAAAAAGGCTGTTGTACAGATATCCAGTGCAAGAATGGAATCGACACTTTTAAGAAGAAGTACAAGATCAAGAAAAGCAAGCTTCTTGATTCGATCGGCAACTACACCAGCCAGTGGCCTTTCTTTCTCGCTCTCGAATCCCTAATTGGCTCCTTCTACAAGCCTTCGCCGTCATCTGCGCCTCACCGGAAAACACCGCCACTACCGGCTTTACCTCCTCCATCCTTGGTGCCGGTTAGTCCCCGATCTAAACGTCTAGCGAAAATTTGATGGAGTGACGACAAAGAGGATGGACAGTGGTCAGAAGACAGGCTCGACTGTGGATGTAATACCCCAATATTTTAAAGGATTTATTAATTGGAATTAATTACTTTTATTTTATTTGTAAATGATTTATTTTATTTAATTAAGTGCTTAGATTAATTGTCTTATTTTAATTAGATTTTATTTTGTGATTATATTTGTTGCATTGATATGATGATTGTTGTGCTTATGTTGATTATTGATTGAATTATTGGTGTGTTGATTTTATTGATATGGTGTAATCTGGTTGTAATTTCTTATTTTGTTTATGTGTTTCATTTAATTAGTTATTTTAATTTAAGTGTTTATTTAATTTATTTAAATTAATTAGATTTGGGCTTAGGGGAAGTTAGACCAAATGATGTAGTCTTGGACTTGTATGAAGCCTTATTGGGTTAATTAATAAAGGCCCATGGTTATGTGATTATTTTGTATAATTATAAATATATATTTAATAAGTGTTATGGAATAATATATATATATATATATATATAATATAATATAATATATGTTTATATATATATTATTTAAAGATAATTATTATTTCTTTTATTTGGTAATCATACTAGGAATAGGATTAAGGTAATTAATGTGTATAAATATATACATAAGGTTTTATTGTTAAAAGTTTATACGTTAGAAAAATAAGAGAGGGAGAGAGAGAGAAAATGAGAAGGCTGACAAAGAGGAGGCCGGATCAGAGAAAGAGGACGACGGATTTGAAAAAGGCAATCAAGGCTTGAAGCGTCGGTTTCGTTTCCAAACCTTCCGGCGAATTCTTCTCTATTTTTCCTTTTAGAACTCATAAGGATTTCATCTTGAGTATCAATGTTTAGATTAAATTTAGGGTTAATTACAATAACACACCTTGAGGTTTACCCTATTGACAACTATATACAAGTTGGTCCATTTTTGAACAATGACACCCCCCTCAGCTTTGCTGCCTTTGACAAAGGCACTAATTAAGAGCCTAACATATGGTAAAATGACATAAGTGCTCTTTAACTTGTAAAATGACACTTTTGAATAGCTAAATTACCAAGTTACCCATTCTAATAAATTTGAAATGTCCAAAATAACCTATCCCACATCTCTATATACAAATATTGTTAATATATATACATAACATGATATATATATATATATATATATATATATATATATATATATATATATAATTATGCGTTCCATTTATATAACGTATCAGTAAAGTCGCCGGAGCCCTAGGTTGTGCACGTTCTATGGTTCTCCAACGTACTAGTGGGGTGGTCACCGGAGCTCTGTGCTGGAATTGATGAAGCCCTAGGTCCATTGGAGAAAGACGAAACAACAAGAAAATCTCCCAAATCGCACCAAGTTTTTGTGTCAATAACACACCAAAACAAAATTTCTTTTATCAGCAATATGCATATGTGTATGTACCTCGTTTTACGATCTGAGTCTTTGCCAGTATATAGTATATATATATATATATATATATATATATATATATATATATATATATATTGACTCACATATACCGATCTGTGGCCAGAAGACAGTGTCGTTCGAAACGACATCGTCGCCGGCTAACAATCCTCTGATTTCTCTAATCCTTTTGCTTCCTGGAGTAGATTCAAGTGAGGTTTTGGACCGCACAAAGGAATCAAATCAATTTATGAATCCGATTCAGTTCATTCAGGTGATGCCACCACCACCTACGTCACAATCTTTGACCACGGTCTAATGACGCAAATGGATCCGAATTGATATGTGGGTTGCTCCTCTGTTTGTTTTCTTCGAATTTGGATCGGCGAAGGTTTCCCGGTGAGAATTATGGTGGTTTTACAAAAATAGGATCCATGGCAATAACGGGTGATGGTTGTAGGGTGATGGTTGTGTGGTGGAGGTTATGGTGGTGAGTGGAGAGAGGGGGAAAGAAAGGGTAGGCGGTGGTGAAGGTGGGTAGGTGGTGACAATTCAAGGCGATGGTGGGGGAGGCTAACTCTTTTCTTGTGGGGAAGGTTGTCTTGCTTGTGGGTGATAGAGGGGATGATGGTGGTGGTGATTGTGGGTGAGCCGAACTTGATGCAGAAGATAGAGAGAAATTAAACATTGAATGGGTTAGGAGAGATTGGTAGAAGGGCAAAAGTGTAATTTTAAAATTATGATATTTTACAATTAAAAATAGTCAATTATTGATGGGCAATTTTGTCTTTTTAAACCTTTTAAGGGTCTGTTTGGATCAAACTTTTGTCAGGGAGTGTTATCGTCCAAAAAACGTCCAACTTGTATATAGGTGTCATTAAGCCAAACCTCAGGAGGTGTCGTTATAATTAACCCTTAAATTTATTATTTAAATCATGGTTATAACGGATTAATCAAAAGAATTAAGTTAATTTAAGTCGATTAAATTAGGATTAAATTGGAGTATTAAAAGCATGATTTATTATTACTTTTATTTTGAATTGTTGGATTTTAATTATATATAGATTGTATATATTTAAAATCAATTGTTATACTTGATATGTACTCCAAGAGGATTAATTAGGGTTTATAGAATTTATGGGATTTTTTTGAATTTTTTTGATTTATTCTTAAATTTTATGGATTTATTTTATATATTTTTTTGGAATTATTCTAAAATTATTTTCTATATTATTTGGCAAAAATTATATAGATACTTTATATATATATATATATATATATATATATATATATTACACTAGAGGCTGCTGGTAGATCGACGTATCAAATAGGGTGTGTAATCCAATGTGGT